ACATAGCGAAAATAATAATTGATTAGCTTTGGTCAGGTTATCTGTCGACATAGGCCTCCCCCAACTGTTTCCACGATTCTCTATTCTTGGGACCATCTCCATCCTTTTGGTAGATCGCCCTCCCATCTTTTAATTCGAACTCCTTGTTTTATTTTCCCGTTCCTCGGATACCACTCTATTACATCTTTAGTCCATTTTTCCTTGTTAGTCCTCATAATATGTCCAGTCGAGTTCCATTTAAGCTTTCTTATTTTTTGTAGCAAGTCACTGATGTTTGTTCTTTTTCTTATTTTTGAAGCTGTCCATCGAACCGGTAGTCTTATATTAAGCATGCTCCTTTCCATGCTGCGTTGACAAACTACTAGCTATTGATTGTTTTTGCTCGTCGTAAGATTCGAAGTTTACTATAAATCGAATCGACAGCTAAAAAGGTATTTCACTGTTCCTTCCGTAAGTCGTTAAGTAATCGACATTCAATTTTATGGAATGGAAAATTTAATGTATGTAACCCTGTCACGATAATAGTAATATTGGCCCTGGGCCCATACTAATATTACTTAAAGTCTTATCCCCCAAGTGGGTCAAGAGCATCCAGCGTAGAAACGTCATTCCAGCTTCCTTCGCTTCTGCAATGATGTTTCGTTGCAAGGTCTGTTTTGGGCGGCCACATTTCCTTTTGCTTTGAGGATTCAAGTCAAGGGCTTGCCTGGCATCAATCATGTGACTTGGATCACTCTGGAGCGATACCCATTTCCACTTACGGGGTTGTATAGACTTGTCAATACAAAGCCTTAAGTGGAAGGAAGGTGGAGGCACATTATTGCATAGCTTCTATAGATGGTTAAGTGTACTTTAGTACCTAATATAATATTTTAATATGAAAAATCAGTGGCGCTACAACCTCTTTAGGTCTGGGCCTCAGATTTCTGAAAGTGTTTCATGAGCATTTTTAAATCTAATAGGCAAGTAGGTGATCAGCCTCCTGAGCCTGACACACACCGTCGACTTTTTGGGTCTAAGACATGTCGGTTTCCTCACAATGTTTTCCTTCACCGTTCGAACGAATGTTAAATGCGCACATATAAATAAAGTCCATTGGTGCACAGCCGGGGATCAAACCTGCGACCTCAGAGATGAGAGTCGCACGCTCAAGCCACTAGGCCAACACTGGTCTCTAATATATTAATATTATTATTACATAAACTGAGAAAAAAAAGAGTAAAAGTTGTCAAAGTGACAACATGAAAAAAATATTTATGAGAATTTAGAAATAAAAATTGATTAAATTAAATGGAATATGATGCAAAATGATGATATTGAATGCGTAAAAAATGGAAATAAACAAAAACAAAATAAAATAAAATTACGTAAAGTCTAAGAAACGGACAATTTAATAGTGGTCAGACAAAATTTGCTTATGCCTAAACCTGAACCCTTTTTTCTCAGTGCTCTTGCTTGTGCTCTTTATACTTTTGCTTGTGCTCCTGCTTCTTCTTGTGTTGTGCTCCTGCTTTTGCTTGTGTTGTGCTCCTGCTGATGCCTGTGTGTTTATTTTATTTTCATCCTGTGACGAAACGAAGAGTTACCAAAACCAGCAGCCTTCATTTTTATTTTTGATCTTGTCCTATTTTTTGTTATGTGTCCTTTTTAAGTTACTTTTTTGTGTTTTTAAATTTGTTTTAAGTTATTGTTTTTTTTTATGTTAGTTTATTAACTGTTGTGAATGCAGGCCGTGACCCTATCTTGTGATGGCACGTCGATCGCGTCCCATACATGTACATTTTGCAACAAGTCTTTCAAATCTTTGAAAGGCCTCAAAATACACATTTCTAAAACACACAGGAACTGTATTAGCCAAACCAGTTCACTTTTAGAAATCCATCCCATTATTCCGAGTGCGCCTACTTTTGCAGCCAACGCTCCAACTCCTTTTCATACATTACTTAGCCATTTGAAAAATAGTATACCCATTGTTAAAAGAATCCCTCGCGGAGCACGAATAACTGTTGCTACACATTTGTCAAAATTAATCCAGAAATGTTATATAAGCAATTGTACTCAAGACTGGCAGAACTTATTTTTATTTTCATACAGTACACTACACATAATAAAAACTGATGAACCGAATTTATCCCTGACACAAAAGATAAAGAATAACTGTGCTGTAAGTTCCTCACCTTCTCCCGCACCTCTAATTAAACATGATGCCCCTTTTAATCGCAAAAAACTCATCGAGAACAAAATTTGTGACGGAGATCTTAAAGGTGCCGCTCGTCTTTTGTTCTCCAATGACGTGCTATCGCCAGATACGCCTGACACCCTTGAGGCATTACGGACTAAACATCCCCCAGCTCCAGTAAACCCATATTTCCTCGACCCACCAACAGCAGGGCAAGCATGCCTTAAAATTCGAAACAAAGATGTAACTGATGCAATTTTATCTTTTAAACCAGGTTCGGCAGCAGGATTGGATGGAATCTCACCCCAACATTTGAAAGATTTAACATCGCATTCTGTGGGTGATGCAGGCGAGCAACTTATTAACTCGATCGCAAAATTAATAAATTTTATGTATTCCGGGGATGTCAATACAGAAATTGTTCCCATTCTTTTCGGCGCGAACCTCATTGCCCTCACTAAAAAGGACGGAGGTGTGAGACCAATTGCTGTTGGTTCAACACTAAGACGTCTGGCTTCCAAAATTGCTGTTCGACATATTTTACCAAAATTAAATTCAGAATTTGAACCTGTACAGTTAGGCTTCGGTGTGAAAGGAGGGTGTGAGGCAGCCGTCCATGCCCTACGCTCTTTCCTAAGTCACGGACAGCCAGACGTGTTGCTCAAAATTGATGTGAAAAATGCATTTAATTCGGTAAATAGGGATACCCTGCTGACTGAAATAAAACAACATATACCGGAAATATACAATTATCTTCTTCTCAGTTACGCTGATCCAACTAAATTGTTATATCGTTCTAATGAACTTTCCTCGGAAGTAGGTTGTCAACAGGGTGATCCCCTTGGGCCTGCAATTTTTAGTTTGGCTATAAATCCCATAATCAAAAATTTAAATTCTAATTTCAATGTTTGGTATTTGGACGACGGAACCCTAGGAGGTGATGTGGATACTGTGTTTTCGGACCTTCTTTTAATCAAAAATAAATTTGAAGCCATTGGTTTGGAGCTTAATTTTAACAAATGCGAACTTTTCATAAATAACTGCGACTTAAATTTAAATGATGTAAAAAAAAAATTTCAAATTTTGGCTCCAAATATTAAAATAGTTAACAGGAATTCCCTTTACCTTTTAGGTTCTCCAATTTTTAATGAATCTATTTCTGATTATATTCATACTTCAATTACTAAATTTCAAAATTCTGCTGACCGTCTCCTTGAAATTAGTCCACATTATGCACTTTGCATCTTAAAATTCTGTCTTTTCCTCCCAAAATTTACGTATGTGCTCCGTTGCTGCTCCTTTTGGAATCACCCAGATATTTTAACACCATTAGACGACTTAATCAAAATTAGCTTAGAATCACTTCTTAATATGCAGCTGAACGAGAAATCTTGGACCCAAGCTTCCCTACCCATCCGTTATGGTGGTTTAGGGATTCGCAAAATTTCCAGTGTCGCTTTACCAGCCTTTCTATCTTCTGTCCATAGTTCAGCAAATATTATAAGTAAAATTTTAAGGGCATCCCCTTCAAACTTTGAGATTGCTGGCTTGGAAGAAGCTAGAAACGCTTTCTTGATTGCATGCCCAGGTCAAAATTTTCCATTATCTCTAAATTCACAGAGGAGCTGGGATGACATACACTGCAAGTTGACTTTTGACAATCTTTTGAGTCGTAGTACGGGTTCGGCGCGTGCTAGGCTTTTGGCCATGGGCACGCATGAGGCCGGCTACTGGCTTCACGCTTACCCATCGTCAAATACAGGAACTTTTCTTGAGCCTGACACGCTTCGAATCGCAACCTGTCTACGGCTTGGGGTTCCGGTCTGCGCTCCTCATATATGTCCCTGTGGCAGTGATGTCGACAAGTTAGGACATCACGGCCTGTCATGCCAAAAAAGTGCAGGCCGCTTCTCGAGACATGCCGCACTTAACGATATCATACGCCGTTCCCTTGCCACCGTCAACGTGCCAAGTCTTCTTGAGCCAAGTGGTATTGCAAGAGACGATGGCAAGAGACCGGACGGTATGAGTTTGATTCCATGGAAGATGGGTCGGGTACTGGTATGGGATGCAACCTGTTCAGACACGCTGGCCCCTTCCCATCTACATGGAACCAACTACAGAGCTGGTGCGGCTTGTGAAGCGGCTGAAAAAAATAAAGCAGGCAAATACAGGGGTCTGGGCTCTGAATATGATTTTGTCCCATTCGGTGTCGAGACCCTTGGTCCGTGGGGTCCTAGCGCTTTAAGGCTTTTTTAAAGAAATTTCAAAAAAGGTTAGTCGACATCACAGGAGACCGAAGATCTGGCAGCTACCTCGGACAAAGAATTAGTCTAGCAATTCAAAGGGGGAACGCTGCCAGTATCTTCGGAACCTTGCCTAAAGGGACTCCTTTTAATGATATATTTTAGTTTATGTTAAGTTTCGTTATTTATTTCAATGTATATTATTTTATTATTATTAGTTTATGTTTATAAGTTTAATTTTATTAATATCGATATAATATATATTTCTGAGAATTAAAATGTAAGTACACTACACAATAAATTGTGTTAACATTACTGATTAATACTTTCGAGAGTGCATTATGAACATCGCGTTCTGAAAATAGCAAGCGATAATTGGTATGCCAATGGCAATGGTACTCCATTGCCATGTGAAAACTCAACACTATTTGTATTACAGAAAAACAAAAAATTAATAACAATTTGACTAAATAATATATTTTATGATTGGAATGCTAATAAAAAAACATTTCTTATGCACAAAATTATCTGGAAGATTATAATATCTTCAATTTTGTTTGATATCAAACCTAGGTATGCGCTTGCTTAGACAAGAATCAAAGCGATTAACATCAAAAAGCGAGTATCAGAGTAGAACAGAGCTCCAGAGAGGTATGGAGCGACCATACCTTACTTATCCTACTATCCCGCACTATATCGCACCCGCAGTTATACAAAGTCAGAATTCAAAAAATAATTTTGGGTAATCGTGTATAAAGATTTTGATTTGTTCCACTCCGGCGTATATATTCAATAACATGCTTTTTATTAAAGTTATGATTATGAAACTATACAGATTTGTTCTTTGATAATTTCTATACGAACATTTGATTTTAATTTTAATAAAATCTTATTATACGATTAATTAAAAAAATATTAAAGTTGGTCCTATATAGTACAAAAGTTATCTAATATACAGAATCACTAAAGAATAATTCCTTGTTACGGCAGAATTTTTCATTCAATATAGAGATGTATTACATACAAGACCTACGAATTAAATATATTTTGTATGACATATCGCATCATATACGAATTATTGTTCTTTAGGATTCTAAACCGTTACAGCGAAACTCAACTATTTGTTTTGCCATTTCGGTACAAACCCGAATGGTGCGTTTGAATAGTAATTTTTTTTTAAATATGGAAACTTTGTATACCTATTTTAAAAGAGTAAGTGTGGAGTTTCTTGCCCATTGTTCTCCACAGGAAACTACCTTTTGGAAGGGGCAACTAGAATCTTCTTTGTATTTTGTTTGACGTTCAAAAGTGCCATTTTAGGTGGTCTAATTGAAATAAATGATTTGACTTTGACTTTAATAATAAGTGGCTGACTGACTGAAATTCAGGGGATACGCGGCTGGGGTTTGAGAGAGACGCATATATGTTTACCGAGTTGTTATAGTCCTTTTTCTTTCTCTCAGCGCTAACTGCTGGAGAATTTAATTTTGTGCCCTTAGCATTTAATATCTCAGTATAACTTTAATTCGAGTTAGACCCTTGTCTTGACAAAGGGAGCGATATGCTTTGTGAGCTACGTGAAAACATTCCTCTATTCCTCTCTTTGCTTATGCAACTGGGTCTTATTTGTAATTATGGAATGCGTCTAATGATGTTCACGAGAAGTCCTATAAATATCCTCTAGACCTTTGTCGCAATCAATAATTGTAGGATAAGGAAAAGCAAGATATTTAAGGAACTTTCCTAACTTTAGATTGCCATTGTGCCTTTATAGATGTGCCTAGATTTGTCTAACATTATATATGACTTACGTGAGTGTTCAAATGAAACAGTTCAGGATAATTCAAATTCAAGTTCAAAAATCATTTAATCATATAGGTATCACAATGTACACTTATGATCGTCAAAATGTATATGAAATGCTTCTAATTTTACATTTTGTGCCAGTTATCAAATCAAAGGCATAGAACGGAAGAGAAGAACTGGCAATAAACTCTCCGATATTCTTTTTAATCGCCATATTTTTTTTACACATCGTTTGTAAGGAGCTGCAACCATTACACCGTGTTCCACATGACATCTTAAGTAATTAATAATAATAACATAAATTAAAAACAAAGACTTGTCCTCTATCATGCATGGTGAAATAGGAGCACGCACTTACATTCTCGTGGGAACAACACGCAAACACATAGTTGAAATAACTAATATCCGCATACACGAATTCAAGTACGACCAGTCACCACAAGTAGCACCCGTTCACGAGTATGACGCATGGCCAGCCATCGGCCCCGCGCCATATTTTAGGGAGAGAGACAACCCGATGCATGGACGCCGCCACAAGCAAGCAATGACGTTTAAGCGAGCATGACGATCCTTGAAATGTGAACTTGGCTACATAAGAAGATAATAATACTGCTTATATTGAAATAATTTGATACCACATGGATCTCGGTTTTTTCCCACTTTACATTAAAACAGTCGTGGATGTTGACGATCGCCCCAGAGTCTGGAAATGCAGCCGAGACATTCAGTCGCGTTACCTATTTATACTGAAGAAACTTATATCCAAGCACTTGGATCGTTTAAATATTAATTTATATTATAATAGGCCTTAGCAAGTATTTTTACTTTAATGTACGATTTAAATTTATTTATTGACAACACTTGTATCTCACTAGGGATTTTGTTGAAAAAACGTATACAATTGCCTTGGAAAGAATTACTCGTTTTATGCAGCCTTCTGGTTGGTGCGCTAATTTTGTCTTTATTACGAGTTCTATAATTATGGAAGCTTCTATTCTTTTTAAAGATATCTATATTTTTCCGCACATACAAAATATTCTCATAAATGTATTGACTTGCCAAAGTCAAAATATGTAATTCCTTAAACTTCCTTCGGACTGACTCCCGTGGGGACAACCCACAGATCGCTCTTATAGCCCGCTTTTGCACTACAACTATCGATTTAATGTCAGATGCATTACCCCACAAAATAACACCATATGACATTATACTATGAAAATAGCTAAAATAAACGAGCTTTGCTGTTTTCTCATCCGTAAGTTCGCGTATCTTTTTTACTGCGAACGCTGCAGAACTTAACCTATTCGAAAGATCTTCTATGTGTCGGCCCCACTGGTGGATATAAATGCAAAAATGATTATTTAGTTTTTAAGTAACATTTCTGAAAGGCACTCAAAACTAGTTATGAATATACCGTAAGAAAACTAAGGTAAAAACCTTGCTGTAAATTGAAACTAATAGTAATTCGTATTTCTATTATATTTGAGACTTGTGGCCCTTCCCGACCTCGCACCGGTGGACATTTATTTTTAATTCTTTTTTGTAGATACTGATATGTTCTTTATTATTGTGTGACATCTTTTTGGTCTATCATCAATAGTTTAAGCAGCGCATGCGATATAAGGTATTTGTGAAAGAATTTTTAAAATCGGTGTGGTACTTTTTGAGCCAATTCGTTACAAACATACTTACATACAAATCTTTCCTCGTGTAATAATAATAAGAATAATAGAGCCCGTTTTATTTCCAATCATGACAAAAACAAAATATAATATACAGCTTAGATTATTTTACATATTTTTTTTTCTTATGCTATCCTATATCCTAGTACATTCAGTACCGTCGATCGAAACCCCTTTACGGGTAAAGGCCACCTCCAGCTTTTTCCAACTAACTCAGTCTATATCTCTCTTTCTATATTCGTCCTGCTACCGCTTCTATTTCTTCTATCCACCTTTTTTTTGGGCGACCTCTTCTCCTTCTTCCTCTTGGTACTTTCCATACAGTTGTGTTTAAAGTCCACCTATTATCTGTGTATCTTGTTATATGCCCCACCCATTGCCAATTCTGTTTTAGGGCATAATGTAAGGCATCTATCACTTTTGTTCTTCGTCTTATTTTTTCGCTTTTAATTTTATGTATTATTCTTATTTTAATGTTTAATCCATGTTCCTGGGGCCATATTATCATCGCTATATTCGTACTGTCTAAATATATTCTTTATTCCCAGGTGCAATTTTCGAAAAAGACACCGAGGAGATTCAAAATGTATTCAAATATGCGATGGCAGTCCACAATCAGAACATCAGCACCCGCCGTCTTGAACTGCAGGCTTTTGTGGATGTCATCAATACAGCTGATGCCTTTAAGTTATCAAGGCTAAGTAAGTATTTTCGTTTAAGTAAATAATTCTCTGTCCCCAAAGACTATTGAAGTATTGAAGTACAGTCAAAACCGTTTACGACGACATCGTTTAGAACACTGGTTATATTGACCAAAATTAAAGGTTCCGGCTGAATTATATGTATTAGGTACCTACTATTTTTTTTTTTTATAGAACGGGGGGCAAACGGGCAGGAGGCTCACCTGATGTTAAGTGATACCGCCGCCCATGGACACTCTCAATGCCAGAGGGCTCGCTAGTGCGTTGCCGGCCTTTTAAGAATTGGTACGCTCTTTTCTTGAAGGACCCTAAGTCGAATTGGTTCGGGAATACTTCAATGGGCAGCTGGTTCCACATAGTGGTGGTGCGCGGCAAAAACTGCCTTGAAAAACGCTCAGTTGTGGAAGCACGTGTGGTACCCCCCTGGGGTAGATTCTGTTTTTTCTGCACCTTCATATTTCTTGTGGGGGGGGGATGGGCTCCGGGAATCTCTATCACCGCACGAAACGCGAGTACAAGAAGGCGAACCTTTTGCATCACTTCACGCCGGTTTTCTGAGAGACAGTGGTACTGCCCCGGTCGTGCCTGCCCATTTGGCTGAAGCCCGAAGGCAACAGCATGGCACTCCCACTAGGAAGGGGTTGACTTATTGCGCTGATGAAATAACCTCTGTCACAGGTTATTTCACCAGTGGGCGATGGGGTCGTCACGTCCCGACGCCAGTACGCCAGTACTACAGACTATTATTAATATACAATAATTATTTAATAGCAACGTCATCTGATGATACGACTATCGGTTTTTACGACTAAATATGAGTAGTCCCTTCGATGTCGTTATAACAGATTTTGACTGTATTTCCGAATAAATTATACTTATCCTTTAATGAGATAGCCTACTAATGCAGTAGCTTAGGTGAGTTTCCATGGCCGGTGGCTTAACCTTTGAAAAACTATTGTTTTTAAATTGGATGACTTTTCATGTGTCAACGTGTGAGGACTAGGAATTTTAATGACCACATTCACATCCCCTAAAACGCTTTGCTGAACAGAACAAAAATGTCGTAGATGTCCTCCATCGGGACGCTTAGCACTTGGTGATGGATGCACAAACCCTTAATATTCTGGGGCAATTCTGCGCTCTTTGACCAACATAGGTCAACTATTGACCGATCTCGGGGCAAACGGAGAAAACCAACAAAGGCATGCCCTTTCACACTCGCCTTGGACTTCACAAATGTAAGGGCGGCTCAACTCCAACATCTTCGCTGTCAATTATCATCTATGTTGCCACTTAGCAACATTCTTTGCTGCGGACGAAAGCACTGGGGGATACTCTTTACGCTTGTCAGTTGTCGATGAGACAACTGAAACTGAACTGAAGTGTAAAGAGTATCCCCCGGAACAATCAAAACTCTGCTACGTGGAGTCTCAGTCTGGGGTAGACTAAATCTAGTCTAATTTACCAAGAAAACACAAGTTTGCGCGTTTTCCACTAAAATAACACCCTTTGTGGCTACTCCTCTCTTCAAAGGCTCTCTCCTTAAAGCCTTAGCCATCGGAATACTGGGCGTTGACATATCCAATGACGTTCAGTTTCGCGGTCATTTCGAAGGGAAGACTAAATTTCCCTCTAAGAAGCTTGGTGTGCTCGGCAAGGCGAGACGGTACTTCATTCCGGGCCAACGCTTGCAACTCTATAAAGCGCCAATTCGGCCCCATATGGAGTACTGTTCACACCTCTGGGCGAGAGCTCCACAGTACAAGCTCCTTCTACTTGACCGTATTCAACGTAGAGCAAGCCAAATGGTTGACGACCAGTCACTTTCCGAGCGGCTTGATCCCGAAGTTGCGTAGAGATGTGAGGTCTCTCTGCATCTTCTATCGCATTTACCATGAAGAGCGTTCAGAGGAGTTGTTTGGACCTGATCCGTATCACCTCGACGTCCGTTGTTCCACAACTGAGTGTTTCTTAAGGCAGTTTTTGCCGCGCACCATCTCTATGTGGAACTAGATATCCACTGAAGTATTTTCGAACCAATTTGGCTTAGGATCCTTTAAGAAAAGAGCGTGTCAATTCTAAAAAGGGCGGCAACGCACTTGGGTGCCTTCTGGCAATGTGACTGCCTATGGGCGGTGGAATAGCTTAACATCATGTAAGCCTCCTGTTACATAAACGCTTTTTGTTTTATATAATATACCAATAAAATAAAATGTATGTTCACAAGTTTAAGTTACACAACTAGGTGGTGTACAAAATTTCACCAATATCAAGAATACGATAAATGTAAATTTTAGGTTCGTGTTAGACCGACAACTTTTTCCATTTAATCGTTTACAAATGGATACATTTGCAGATTAAAATTATCTTTATAAGACATCGGTACAGATAAAAAATAAACCTTATTTGAACAAAACTGTAAATTGTAAGTTTTTTACCTCAACGTAAATTAAACCCTGTTTTAATTCTAAAATAAACGCTTGAATATAGATTATATAGATCTTTTTATTAATTACACATTGTTTGCATATAACATATTATAGTGTATGCGATCGGTCGATATATTAATACTATGTGAAAGTACTGCTGCTATCACGTAGTAGTTTCTTAAAATATATGTTTTTATTGGTTTTTTAAGTGAATAAAATATATTTTATTTATAATCGTTTGTTTTTGAATGACATACGTTAATGTTGAATCAAAAACTTGAAACCGTTTTAGATTGATAGCAAATAGTTACGAGGCAACGTAACAGATCTTTCAGGAGTAATTTAAGTAATGGAACCTACATTAATAACTTGTGTCTATATATCACTAAGAATCTTTAGTTAATTTCACACATATACTTATAAGTTATGCGTGAACATACAAAAAATACAAACCAAATAGCAAATGCAGATCTAAACTTTAAAAATAAGCTAAAATATAATAAAAATTGTTTAACGTTTTTTCCTTATAAACAAGAATACAAGTATGACACACAACTGTGGGATACCATATTATGATACGAAATAACTATTAGATAGCCTGTAAAAAGTATATTTTTGGTAGAATATTTAGTCTTTATTAATAGAAAATAGAAATTTTGGTCATTATTGCTCTTCAAAATATTTGGCTAGAATGGTTGTACCTTTACAACTTAACAATAATATGATGGGCCAAAGGGCGACGTGCTCAGATTATTTTAGACCAACAAGTTTGTACAGTGCTGAATTTCAGCAAGCTACTATTCCGCTTCATATATATTTTGATATCTTGAATATTATCTAATATTTCTTCTCTTTGCCCAATTGTAGAAGACTTCACATATTTCTAATTTAAAGGTATACATTAAGTTAACATTTTATCATTTTGGATCCGTCGTAAAACGTCTTATATTATATATATATATATATGTGTGTGATATAGTAACTACCTAACTTAAGTTTTTATTGAACCTATTCTATTAACTTATAGTCCCGTGTGCCTGGTTTTCATCTCAAGCGGTTACTGGACTGAAGTAAAACTTAACGACTTCCAATCTCATTTATTTATTTATATTATTGCAATGGCTTTTAGTGTACTTTTGTAAATTTAAACAGTGTTTTCTGTATATTCAATAAAACTACCACCTTAATAATTTATAAAGGTCTTCGTGAGACTGCGAGTAAATCTATTATTTAGTGCTTACAACTAATAATAATTCAGTAGCAGAAACATATACGTGTTTTTCAGGTCAAGTCAAAAATCATTTATTAATATAGGTAACACAATGTACACTTATGAACGTCAAAAAAGAAATATACATTAAATGCTTCTAATTTTACATTTACTGCTAGTTCTCAAATCAAGGGCGTAGAACGGAAGAGGAGAACTGACAATAAACTCTCCGCCACTCTTTTTAATCGCCAAGTTTTTTGTTCTACACAACGTTTGTAAGGAGCTGCAACCATTACAAAATGTTTCACATGACATCTTAAGTAATAAATAATAATAAAATAAAATAAAAACAAAGATTTGTCCTCTATCAGCAGGAGGCATGATGAAATAGGAGCACGCTCTTACATTCTCGTGGGAACAACACGCAAAGACATAGTCGAAATAACTGACATCACCGCAAACACGAATTCAAGTACGTTTTGACGTCACATTGCATCTATTTTATTTGATAATCTAATATATAAAATACTCGTGGCACAATGTCCTCCGAAACGGCTTTACCGATTCTTATGAAAATTGTTATGCATATTCAGTAAGTCTAAGAATCGGCTACTATGTATCTTTTAAACCGCTAAATGTTAAGGGTGGTCCACCCCTAAATTTTAATTTTAATTTTTAGATAAGATTTTTTGTTTTAATTTTTTTATGAATTTTCACCCCTCTACGATCAACCCCTATTTTTTATTTGTTAATTAAAATCTTATGACTTGAACTCTGAGGTTTATATAGAGAAAAATTCTCAGAAAACCCTTAAAAATTTTCATTCCAGAAAACCGAACAGTCTCTGGGGTAGCATAGCAAAATGTTCCATGTTGATATGTACTCAAAAGGTAGGATAAGTAAAATAACATTAAGGAGAAACGAAGTTCACGGGGGCAGTTAGTTTTCTTATATACGTAGGTTTATGGTAGGCAAATGGCACATGTTGATCCACGAGAATATGTCTAAGACATAACGATTCCCTTTCGAAGATTTTTTTCACCGTACGAGCAAGCACAGTCAATTATTGCTAAGCCACTTTTCTCCTCTCTCCTCTTTAGAGATATATAAAAGAGAAAACTGTTGTGAACTAATTAACTATTCTAGTAAATTTTAAATAGGATGGTATAATGTGCACCATTAGCACACTTAAAGTAGTATAAGTTTTGAAAGAGTTCACGATTTACATACTCAAAACTTTAGTAAGCACTACGTGAGGTAATTTTATGCGAAACCTCGGAATCCCTAACTTACACTCAAAATATTAGCGGTACTTTGACGAGATTTACTATGAAGAAATATAGGGGAAGATCGTTACCCTTCGTACGCGGGGCACATTCATACAGTCAAAATAAAACTTGAACAAAACAAACTACAGTCTTGTTTTTGTATGTGTGCATGAGTCGAGGTACCAACTATACATCAACGAAGTTTCGCGAAATTCGCACCGATGAGAGTGAAGTTACAGGCATGGACGTGTTTTCGCGCTCGGTAAGTAATTTTTTGATCAATGTTTTTGTCTCTTGTTACCGTAGATAAAATAAGCTTTCGTGTAGAGTATTCTATCAGTAACTAGCAACTATACTTAAGATACGTCTCCAATACTTAATTTATGGTATTTTCCTATTAATATTAAAATAAGTTATATTTTGTTGTTATTCAGTTAGTGGGGTACTTTCGGACAGCACTAGATGGGGCACATTTGAACGAATTGTACAACTAAATTTGTATGAAAATTTGTCGACACGAACTGTCATTTTCATACAAATTAAGTTTTTGACTTTCTACATACACTACTGTTAGGGCACCTTGACTAAAACCTCTGGTAGGTACGATTGTGTTAGTGTGCTAATTGCTCATTTTTGCGTTAACTTTGTCCTGTGTTGCTATTTTGCTATCGTCGATGTAAATATATATTAATACCTATTTCTTATTATCTTTATTAAGGTTGATTTTGATGCTTGTGAACCAGATGCTTTGAATAATTTACCAATCCATTAAATAGTAGTTCCTTCAAAGTCAGTTTTGACACCAGAGGCATTTTGACCCTATCCGCATGTTGTAAGAAATAATAAAACAAACAAAATGACGACGACGGCCAGGAAAACCATGAATTTATACTGCCACACCCGAAAATAAGAAGTGCTAATCCGCAGCAGATTAAGAAATGTGATTCTAAATTTAAGATACCTAACTAATTAAATTTTGTTTTACATAAGAAAAGCTATGTAATTTTTGTTCACTATAAGAAAACTATTTATTTTTGTTTAATAGAAATAAAATCTTTATTTTTGTGTTTAATTTCATTGCTAATAAATGAATTTTGATTTATATGTGTCGTTTTAATCGGAAGTACGGAACTACCCCTCAGCGTACGAAGGTACCCCCAACACTGTACGAAGGTGCACCGTTGATGGGGCAGATTCGTACGTTTTCCAGATTTAGTTTAAATCATAATTATGTTTGAACCATCAGATGAAATCATTTGACATTTTTTTATATGAATCTCAGATAGTTAGACTATAAATTTAAGCTATCAGGTGATTGATTCATGGAAAAAGAAAAAAAAAATAATAAAATGTGAAAACCGTACGAAGGGTCCCGACCTTCCCCTATGTCCTTTGGCTCAACATTTTTTTAGAATCTCACATTTCTTTATCTATCAGTGATTGTATTTATTTATCCACTCGTAACACCTCGATGTACATCATTCCACAACTGAGCGTTTTTAAGGCAGTTTTTGCCCACCACTATGTGGAACCAGCTGCCCACTGAAGTATTCAAGAAAAGAGCGTACCAATTGTTAGCAGGCCGCCAACGTACTTGCGAGCCCTCTGGCAATGTGTTAATGGGCGACGATATCACTTTAAATCAGATTCCCCCCGATAATAATAAAAATACTTTGTCCTCAGTTTTTGAGTCGAAATGAAAATAAATATGTTTCCGGTTTCCTTACTATGTTTTCGTTTTTCTTAGCAAATTTTAATTGCTTAAAAAGAAGAAAAAAACTATTTAAAAGCTCAGCTTTACGGTTGGGAACCGCACGCTTACCCATTAAGCTAATATTACTCTAGATCTAACAACTGAATAATAAAAATCAGTCCATAAACTTATATGGGTTTTGACCACAGATTAAATTTGGTATTTTTTTAGTAACGATTGGCAGACTGACCTCTTGATTTATGGGATTAAGAAATAATGGTTATTTAAAGAAAACAATTATTTACCGGATTGAAGTAATGTATTATTATAAATTTACAATTATTTTACATAATTTTAAATTTAACCGACGTTTCGCGTGCTTTACAGCGTGAGTGGTCATGGTGACTTTATAATACATAACTTCAATCCGGTATAAAATTGTTTCCTTTAAATGAGTAAAAGTTATGTGAATAAAAGACAATACAATAATGGTTATGTCACGATGTTTGCTTTCACCGTACTAAGAAGACGTTTTAATTCTACTCAAAGGAAGTTCCGCTATGCACTGCTGTGATTTGAACGCTACATCGAAGGATAGAGAGCCTGTCGGCGGCGAATACTGTTCTCGCCAAAGCTACGAGTATAAAAAAGTTAAAATAATGTTCCAAATTTAAAGTACTGAGAATTTGTTCCTCATGCTTATCTTAAGATTAACTTCGTAAACAAAGAAAAAAATAGGACAAAAACCTTATCTTACCATTTCGGTGTAACAAAGGTTCCGAAAATACAGGCAAATACATATTTTGTATCTTGGTGACAAAAATTTAAAAAATACTGACACGGAAATTAAAACAACAAACAATAGCAAATTGTCCGTAAGAGGATGAACGTCGGATCCGCGTTATTTGTCCTAATGATGGGAACTTTCCGGAATTCTACCGACACTCACAATAAAAGAATATCTTTTCTCGAATCCCTCAAAAGGATCTGTGTTTTTTTTTTACTTTATCTCGAACTTTCTTCGTTGTTGAAATTCGTTACTTATTTTTATGAAATTTTTGTAGGTATAGCTTTTTTATTCTTCGTTAAGCTATGAAACCTTCAAACCGGGTTGAAAGATATATCCTAACAATCATGGTATCTTAGGATAGATTGCCAGATGTCGAAAAATTAACCCACCTCCCTACAGGGCGAGTACTCTTCTGGTCTCTTGGCAAAGATGTCCAAGGGAATTTCTGTCATCCCTTCATTTCACCACTGCAGGGAGGATGATTCCCGGGCCCATACCGTTAAGGAGATTATCTTCTAGGCCATCTCTTCGTCGAACTCGACTTTGAATGACCAAGGGAAGGTACCACCGACATTATTTCTGTGTTATACAGCGATGCCATTTACCATGGAGAGTCTTCAGAGGAGTTGTTCGGTCTAATAACTGCAGCTGAGTTTCATCATCAGACGTCAAGGCAGAATACCATCCGTATCACCTCGACATCCGTCGTTCCACAACTGGGTGTTTCTTAAGGCAGTTTTTTCCGCGCACCACTACTATGTGGAATCCTATCTAAGCCCACTAAAGTATTTCCGAACTAATTCGACTTCTTCGACGGATCCTCGAAGAAAAGAGCTTCTTAAAAGGCCGGACACGCACTCGCGAGCCTTCTGGCGATGTCAATGGGCGGCGGTATCTCTTAACCTCAGGTAAGCCGAGCCTCCTGCCGTTTATCTTTATAAAAAAATAAAATACGCAACATACACACCATTTAGTTCTTACATTGTATGAGTAAATGTTAATTGTCAAAAAAATCCAATAGCGCAAAATCGGGATTCAATCAGACACATTTAGGGTTGGAAATAGCACGCTTAACCACTAAGCTAGGGGTGTTTATTAGCTTCTCGTTTACTAAATACAATTATTTTATATGACTTTATTGCTTACCGCTGTCCTTGAAAGCCTGCATCCCCAGTAGGTTTACAGGTGCATTGCCGACCTTTAACGAATTACATACGTAGAAAAGCGTAAATTCCTAGTTCGCGGTAAAAAAAAAGCGCTCTGTCGTGAACACCAGACGTCAAGCTCAAACATGTGGAATAAACTATCAATAATGGAAATCTTTGGATATTAGAAAAATAGAACGATATTGTGTATCATTTTCATGAAAATATAAAATGCAAATATGTTATCATTGTTAAAATCAGTACGGCTGCCGACGTGTGTTTATCTGTAAAAGTTTATTCACGGCATAAACGCTTTTATTATAAATATACTGCTATGAAAGACACATTTTATTATTTACAGGAATAGCCAGTAATTAATTAAACATTGACAGAATAGTTAATAGATCCAATAAGAAAATTATTTTACTAGCTAATTAACGTAATTATACATTTAATTTCGTAGCTATGATGTTGGTGGACTCATTTTCCGCACTTAAGCTTAGGTTTCCTAGAAAAGCGGTGCCGTTAACTAACGGCCGTCATTTTACGGTTATTAATAACGGCCGTCTTTAAATGATAAATGATTTATTTCTTTAAGTAGGTTTTTACAAACACTTTTACACGTCAAACATTTTTTTTTTTAAACTAGATGAGATCGATAAAATATGTGTTTACTTTTAAACAATAATTTTCGCTCGTCGAAGTCACGTTTCCACTCATTGTATTAATTAAATATGGGCACCGCTACACGCGAAAAACGTTAAACTAATGTTTATCACCGCTATGACGGCCGTCATGCAAATGACAGCACCGCTATTTGACGTTACGGTGACAACGTTTCTAGGAAACCTACTCCGATGTTATTTAGAGACAACGTATGGGTGACGTCACCCAACGCTACATTACGGCCGTTAGATAACGGCACCGCTTTTCTAGGAAACCTAAGCTTTAGACGCATAATTGGTCCGATGTACGTACGTGAGATGTACCGTTATAGATAATTATTATTACATATCAACAATAAAAGATGTGTTTATTTTTGACACAAAAATGGAAGTCTGTCCTTTTTTTGCCATTATAGAAATAATATTGGTTGTTGATTAAGCCATGAACTCTATTTTATTTTTCTAATAATATATAAAGTAGAGAGCTTATTGCCAGTTCTTCTCTTCCGTTCTACGCCCTTGACTTGAGAACTGGCAGTAAATGTAAAATTAGAAGCATTTAATATATATTTCTTTTTTGACGTTCACAAGTGTACAAGTACACCTATATGGATAAATGACTTTGATTTAAATTGTTGAGATCAAATAGGGCAGAGCATATCACGTATAACTCGGATACAATTTCCAACGAACAATAGCTATTAAAGTGGCTTCGTATTGAATATAAAACAAATGGACGCAGTATACTATGCGTTTTAGACGGGTTATGTATGTGGAACATAATTATATAAAGTGCTACAAGCGAAGAATTACCAGAGCGCGTTCGCTTAATGAAAATACGGTTTTATCGAAAAGCATTTTCTCAGTAAACATACATAGTATTGGAGATTTTAATGTATGCCCTTTGAGCTTTTATAAGTAGCAAGTCTACAAGAATCGACTTTATATGAATGTATACAAAAATTTCGATAATATTATGCTTAGTTATTTTTTAATAATTCTGATTAATAACTAAAGTAAAATAGACATGGACCGTATCTATTATCATTCATCATCAGTATAATTGCAGCGTATTAACGGACGCGCTATTTTATTTACAGTGTAATCACAATATGACAGCAAAGCGTACTTTAGCTAAAATAGTGCAAATCCATTGATTTATTTACAAAAATAAAGGGATTAGTGTTTTGGTACTATGATCGCGTTAATAGATAAATTGTACTTATTTATCACTTTATAACAAACACTAAATCCACTTATCCACATAGTGGTTTAAAGCGTCTTGTTCCCGCCAATATATAACATATTTTTGATTATATCTAAATATCTAGTTCCTTTTAAAGGAAGAACAAGACTATATTAAAAACTGGAAATAAGTAACGATGATCATATTTCGTACCAACAACCAATTACCTTGCCTGAGATATCCCATTGACTACTTGCAGAAGCTAATTAGCAATCCTAAGCTAATAGACTATACTATACCACGGCCGCTATTGCCACCTGTATAATATGGCATCATTGTTTTAGCCTAATCAAGCATTTGTAAGGGTCCGTAGGTATTCTAGGACACGGAAATTGCGGAGGCGCAATTACCGTGATTGGTTTCCGTTAGATGTTTGACCAAACGGGGCAGTTATTGGTCTTGGAAATTATTGACAATTTGGGCGGGTCCTCGGGAGAGGAAACAAAATTACGCATGTCGTTGAAACCAAAAATCGAGGGCGCCACGGGTGGTGAGAGCGTACACGCGACACGCGATACGTCACGTTTCGTCCATTTATCTAATCACAAAATTACGATACATTGTCGTGCTCTTTCGTTTATCTTACAACGTTGTATTCGCGACAATGCTTAGCCATGCCCTCACCATATATTAAAACTAACAATTTACTTACGTATGATTTTTATTTACAGTTTGCAACCAATTTGCCCGAGGCGTCTTCGGCATGCTGGGCGCCGTCAACCCGGAATCGTTTGATACGCTTCACTCGTACACTAATACTTTTCAAATACCATTCGTTACCCCATGGTTCCCCGAGAAGGTAAGCTCTTACAAGTGTTTCCTTAAATTTTATTGTATTTTACTTAGCAATTTACATTTGTTGTAATTAAAGTGTCCCAACGTTTAGCGTGATGTTGCGGTGTTACATGTTATAAGAGAGACCTCGTATTTCAAATTATAACTTTAGTTACAATCTCGTATCGAGTTTGAAATGTTCATACTTAATATACAAACACGGACTGCAGGTAGATTGACGTTTGATGCCATCTGTTAGTAGCGCCAGCAATTTTCCTGGCGTTGGTACTTATAATAGCCCAAAATTATGACAAAATTGTTTCAAATAAAGTTTTTAGCACATTCGAATTCTCGCAGATAAAGTTTATAGTGCTCTGATGTAAAACTCGTTCTGAGAACATTGTCAGTTATTAAATTTTAATTTTACAAATTAAAAATAAAAACTTATAAATCTAACAAATCCTGTCTTGTTAATTTGTATTTATGATAAAAGGATTTAATTAATTGGTGCGATTCTATGATATCTTAATATTTATATATAAATTACGTGTCATGTTGTTTGTCCGCTATGGACTCCTAAACTACCAAACCGATATCAATCAAATTTGCACACTGTGTGTAGTTTGATCCAACTTAAAAGATAGGATAGCTTACATCTCAATTTATACCCGTAATATTATTTTATTGCAAAACCATCAAAAAGCGTGGTGGTCCCTATGTTCTCCTACAGTTTTCCTTGAATACTTTACTACTATGTAATATAACAAAAACCTTAACCTTAACCACAGCAACGCTTGGCCGGTCTGCTAGTAATAATATAAAGTAAACTGAGAATTTTGTATTGAACTGGAACTAATGTAAGCTATTTTTCAGGTTATTCCTCCATCATCCGGTTTAATTGACCATGCCGTGAGCATGCGGCCCGACTACCACAAAGCAATAGTTGACATCATAGTCCACTACGGATGGACAGAAATTATATATGTGTACGACTCGCATGACGGTAAGTCTCAATGCCAACATTAACTCAAAGTAAAATTCTCTTGTCGCAATGTTCGCTCCAATACTCCTCCGAAAAGGCTCGACCGATTGTTATGAAATTTTATATTCACATTCAGTAAGTCTGAGAATAAGCTACTATTTATCTTTCAAACCCCTAAGTGATAAGGGGTATTCAACCCCAAATTTTTTTTTTAGTTTTTGAAGTAAAACTTCTTTAAGCGCGACTAGGGAGTAACTCAGATTTTTTTTCTGACGGAAGTAACGCTTAAACGTAGTTTCCGCTATTTAAAATAATACGATAGCGAGTTTTATAAGTCCGTCAGCGCCATCTAGTGGTTTTTTTTTTTTTTTTTTTTATAGAAACGGGCAGGAGGCTCACCTGATGTTAAGTGATACCGCCGCCCATGGACACTCTCAATGCCATTAATGGTGCATTATTTGAACTGATTTAAGCTTAGGATAACATTCATTCGTTTTATTTGACACTGATTCTTGTATTTATGTTATTATTAGTATATTAGTATTTTTGTAAAGTACATGAATAATAAATATAATTAAATTATAATATGATATTTATTATTTAAGTTAATATTTAACCATTTCTGTGATATATGCCGTCAACGCCAAAGAAGTTTTATTTCAATCGCGCGTAAAGGTTACACGCACACACTTTTTTTTATGGTACAGCATACAAAAATACATTTTCACCCTTCTACGATCAACCCCTATATTTTATTACTGTAGATAGCTATTTTTATTGAACTAAAAAAATGTTTCCTAGAAATAATATACATGGCAAAACAAACGTTTGCCGGGTCAACTAGTTTTTATATATAAACAAACTTCAGCACGAAAATACTTTTGCAAATACGTAATACGTTATTTAAACATAAAACATAAAATAGGTTTTTTAATGAAATTGCGTGTGGCATCAGCTTGAGCTCTTTAGCAAACGTAGGGTTAATTTGAAAAGTCTAACATGTTATCGCAGATACTGTTTGAGTTTTTTAATAAGAATCCATCGCCTGTACCGGCATACATGAGTTTCGCGTTAATTTAACCATTAATGCATCGTTCGCCACATAAGATTTCAATAGCTTATTTTACTTTTACAACTTATTAATTTTCCGCCCCCGCTAGTGGTAGCGTAATATAGCCTTCGATAAAAGGAAAATTTCATAAAATATTTTCCAATTCTTACCTGTAGTTTCCGAGTTTAACTCGTTCAAGCTTCAGCGTTATAAGATTATTCACTCTGTATTTATATTATAATTGAAATAAAACCTACACCAATTAACTAATTAGAAGGATCTCTGGTCTAGGATTCTAGTTAATTCATGTGACAACTTCCCTCTTAACCTAATTACTTAGACTTTATCTGTATTTATTTTGTACTTTAACTTCCATCTTAGAGCAGTTTTAGTTTAATAAGATTAATGGTTCTCAATTTATTATTTATATGTGCGTGAAAACCCCATATAAATAATAAATTGAGAATTGAGTTTACCCCTACTTAAGTTAGCTCTAAATTTCTGAATGATACATGGCACAGACTGGCACAGAAAGCTTTCTGTAGCTATTTGCTTATAAAATGGAATGCTACATTAACCCTAAATAACATAGGTTATTTATTAAAAAAATACATATTTAACTTTGCCCCGCCACTAGGTATGTATAAAAAATAAAATAATTTTATTCTGTAATCGGTGCAAATAAAAACTTAACGATTATCTCTTTGCAAACTGAGATGCTATATTTGTATTCACTGAGGATTTTACTTTAATATTAAAAGAAAATGTATACTGTAAAACGTTTCTCTTGAAAGGATAACGAAAAATATGACACAAAATTTAATTTTCCAGGTAAATATTTAAATAATCTGCTAAATAAAATTGAAAATAAATACTAAAGCTAAAAAATATATAAATATTATTAATCCTATTTGATATGTAACTTAAATTAATTAATAAATATATGTGCTAAACTGGACTACTTCAAACACTAAAAATTCAAAACAAACAATTTGTTTTTACAATCTCTAATGTTCATAGTTTAACAACCAGATGTAAAGGTTTCTTCTGGCTCCTCAAATGATAAATGCGCTGAAAAAAATGTATACAAACGAGGGTTAAGTTCGGTGAAATTGTTGTAGGAATGTTCAAATATATATTAATTGAATCACTTTGTTTGAAGCCTTGTGTCAACTAGCTTTAATCGTTTAAAAGCTTATAACTAACATAAAATTAGGGGTAGTGGGGGTGCGAAGCTAACAAAAAACTAACTTGGCTTATTTAAGGGTTCTTAAATCTAAATGACACTTCAATACAAGTGTATTCGACCTTTTTGGACATTATCGGAAACAAGAATGAAAACAATTTATGAGTGTGGGAAAAACTAAAGGGCCCATTTTGGCTTCGAGTATGCGATGATTGCTAACATTTGGTTTGCGCTTCTAATTATTAACTAATATATATACATTTAACTTAACTAATACATAACTCGAGTAAACGTTCTTTAAGTTTAATGACGTACTTATTACTAATATTACATATTACTTAACATAGATTTTGTACCAATTGTATATCAGAAGCAAAATCAAGTAGAAAAAGCTAAAAAGGTATACGCATCGTGGCCCTTTTATAAAACCACTACACACTTGTTAACTACTTAATAATTAGTAAAAAATGTATTACTTACATTGCATTTGAAAATATACGCTTAGTATATATTTATTTATCAAAAAGAAAACATGACAGATCCAAATTCAAGATATATAAAAAAATACAAGTGTTACATGTTTCACATATAATAATTTAATATAAAGTATAAGTCACTCAACTAAAGAAAAAGAAGACACGAAAATGTAAACAACAATTTAGAGTAACATTAAAGACAAAACAATTACAACAACGATTTTAATAAGTTCTTGAAGGCAGTAGGGGGTCACGAAAAAAAATCTACATTTAAAATTGAGTAGTAACTTGGTCATCGGACGTCGAGGCAGTATACGAAATTCCACCCCTATCACCTGGCCGTCCGTCGTTCCAACTCAACGTTTTTAAGGAAGTTTTTGCCGCGCACCACCACTATGCGAACCAGCCCACTGAAGTATTTCCGAACCAATTCGACTTAGGGTCCTCTAAGAAAAGAGCGTATCAATTCTTAAAATGCCGGCAACTCGCGAGCCCTCTGGCGTTGAGAGTGTCCATGGGCGGCGACACTACTTAACGTCAGATGAGCCTCCCGCTCGTTTGCCCCCTGTACTAAAAAAAATAAGGTCACAAAACCCGACGTTTGTACGTGTAATAGGTAACTAGACACTAACAATAAACCAATACTTGAATTATATAGTCGTCCATTTAATTACGCAATTTGTGTTCTGCGTAACAATTATTAATGATATAACTGGAATAAACTGATAAGGACTATCAGTTTGCTCTTCTCGACCAAATTACACTGACCGTGCCATTGATTTAACAAGACTTTCAGTTTAAGCATTTTCTTAATATACATTTACGCTTGTATTAAGTCACCTGCTTCACATTTTTCTATGGAAAACTAAGCGCTTCCTAAAGTGCTGCGCTGTATTTGGAACTTCATAGTTATCATACAAATTTAAAAATCCATAGTTACCATTTCAAACAAAGCATCAATTACTGTAAACAATGAGCCCGAATTCAACCACGTTAAACAAACATTTTGAAAATGGAACGTGCGAACTTGTTTATATACGCTATTTATCTATGCTGATTTCGCCTCTCTTGTTTTGTAAAACATTGTGTAATAGTGGCTTAGACTCACAGCCTTAAGGTTGCTCGAATAATAATAGATAATGCAATGGAATTTTCTTTATTTGCTTAATTCATACTTATTCCAATGAAGGCAAACAGAGAAAAGCGTCGTAAACCCACAGACCAACATGTGTCAGACACAGAATGCTGATCCTTGTCTATAAAAATCATCAAAGAAACGGATGCCATCTGAGACTCATCGGCACATGGTTATATTATTAAAACACAAGTTTTAATTATATAATTGATTATTGATTATATTTTAATAAAAATTGACTCTCACATCGTATGATTGTATAAAGTAACCTACCAATGAATGTATTGAGATGTACGTTTCTGTCTGTTTCAAATATGTTGCTGTTACGTAAATAAGTAATCAGCCTTCTATGCCTAAACCTTAGGTTTCCTAGAAAAGCGGTGCCGTTATCCAACGGCCGTAATGTAACGTTGGGTGACGTCACCGGAGTAGGTTTTCTAGAGAACGTTGAGTGTCACCGTAGCGTCAAATAGTGGTGCTGTCATTTGCACGACGGCCGTCATAGCGGTGATAGACAATATTTCAACGTTTTTCGCGAGTAGCGGTGCCCATATTTAATTAATACCATGAGTGAAACGTGACTTGGACGAGCGAAAATTATGTTTTTTTTTGCATCATGTTAAAAAGTAAAGACGGCCGTTATTAACAACCGTAAAATGACGGCCGTTAGTTAACGGTACCGCTTTTCTAGGAAACCTAAGCTTTACACACTTCAATGATTTTGCTACACGACACATGGTCTAAGACTTTTATATGACAGTTCCTCGTTATGTTCTCCTACGAACTGGAAAAATAAACTCTCGAGAGAAAGAAAAACCATTTCTGCACAGCCGTTCCTTACACTCAAGATCTAAAGGTTGATAATTGTTAGCCCTAGCTATCACAACTCGTAATCGTCTAGTTGATAAAGAGATGTTCTATGAAATAATGTCATTACTATACGATCAGATGTGGTATTGGAAGAGTTTTTCACTTACTGCATTTACCACTTGCTTGAATAATACCTCGTATAAGTAAATACAATATAGTACATACGCGTACATAGGCACGTTTAGGTACGTACATAGGTAGGTAGGCGTGCTTACTACAGCATGACAGTTTTTAATAGAGAAATTATTTGACCATGTGGTAATTCCATTATACTGAGTCCACTGGCTAAACGATTGAGTATGAGGTTTTAATAGTATCAAGAAAGG